ACTGTCAGGGGAAGAATGGCTTCCAATGAGTCTCTGCAGGTATTGTGCAAGGTCCTCCTGGTTTACAGCTTCCAAGCGGCTCTCGTGACCCCAGTCCACTGGATCTCTGACTCCGTGGGCTTAGTCTGCATTCTCATGTTCTCTGAGTCCTTGTTCAGCAGCTGCTCCTCCGCTGGCTCTGGACCTTTCTGGGAAAGCTCCAGTTTTGAGCTAGAAGACAGCACTGTTCAGGCGACCATACTCCTAAGGTTGATTCACAGATTCTGCGCGATCCCTATCAAAACCCCAGCGAGCTTGTTTGCAGAAACTGACACGCTGATCCTAAAATTCACAGAGGAATTCCAGGGACCCAGAATAGCCAAACAGCCTAGAAAAGAAGAATTGTTAAAGGGTGGAAGACCCATACTTTCCAGGTCCAAAACTTACCGCAGAGTCACAGTAATCAAGGGGGTAAGCACAGAACAGAACTGAGAGTCTGGAAGTGAAGCTGATGTTGATGATCAATTGATTTTTGACAAAGTTGCCAGGACAATGTAATTTGTTTGTATCAGGACTCGAACTCATGACCTTGTGCTTGCTAGGCAAGCACTTTGGCACTGAGCTATGTCCCTGGCCCAATTTAATAGGAAACAAGATAATTTTTCCAGAAATAGTGCTGGGACAGTTAGATATATTCAAAAGAATGAAGCTGGACCTTATATAAGACAAGCAAAACAAAACAAAAAAAGATTTCCAAAAGGATTAAGGCCTCAATTGAAGTGAAGTGCTAAGGCTATTAAGAGTTTTCTAAGAAACACGTAAGTCTTTGTGAGTTTGGGTTGAGCAATAACAACTTCATCAACAACTTCATCAATAACAACTTCAGTAACAACTGTTGTCATCTTCGCTATGACAACAGAACAGATGAAATCAAAATTAAAACTTTGCTTCATCAATGAACATTGAGATAGTGAAAAAAGAACCCATAGAATGGAGAAAAATTGTAAATTTGATAAAGGACTTATATAGACTGTATAGTAAACTAACAGTCTCAAAGAGAGGACCCAAACCTAAAACAGGCAGTTTTACATAACCCAATTTAAAAATGGGGCTTGAATAGACATTTCCCCCGTGAAGGTACACAAAGGGCCCAAAAGCACATGAAAAGATACTCAGTATAGCCTCGGGTGCCATCTGCTAGTTCCTCTAAAGATGAAATGTGAGGTGCCCCCCAGTTCCACAGCTAGGTGGGACCCCAAGAGGATGAAAAATGTGCCCGTGCAAAAACTATAGTGGGTTGACAATTGGTGGTCAACTTATAACCCCCAGCTGAACTGAGTGAGTGGTGCTGGGTGTGGGAGGCCCACCTGGGGACTGTTGCCAGCAGCATAAGAGGCAGACCTGGAGAAGAAGGAGGCTGTTGGGAGCTGGTGAAGCTGTAAGGAGCTGTTGATTCTCTTGGAGGAGCTCGTCATGCTGGCTTTCCTGATG